TTCTCTTAATTCCTATTCAGCACTGAATTACTGCCTTAGAATGGAAGCAACTCCTCAACAGACGTGCTCTTAGTGTGGTTGGAAAAAAGTAAACTATATTGTAGTCATGAAGATGAATGACACAAAACTCAGAAACATTTATATAGAGAGGTACTATAGAACATATGACAATACAGAGAAAGCCTTAAAAATATTACATGAAATTCATGAGATTTAGTAAGTCCACTGCTTTATAATCTAGTTTATTAAAGCAGAAAGTAGACACATCATATAATTATGTATTATTAGAATGGATGACTTTAATTGAATTAATGTTTTGTTGTAAAGTGCACTGGGAATACTAAAAAAGAAAAGAAAACTGATTTGGAACTTTGTCCTGCAGTAATCACCATTTGAGGTAAAGCAACTCACAGCCCTAGGGTTCTTTCAAAGAAGTAACTGATGGTTTATGTATCATCAGAGAGACATCAGTCAGCTAAGATAATTTTTCCCATCTGTCTAGAATTTTATATAAACTGAAAGCAGTTTTCAGTAGAATAGAGGAAATGTCCCAGCTCAAATAGTAAGAGCATTTTTGCATAACTGGGATAGAGGAATGGGGAGATAAACTTGATGAAAGAATCCAGGATCCATTGAGGAGGTGAAACAACAACACAATCCTGGGAAAGGAACAATGAGACAAAGAAACTTAAAATAATCCCACCTTGATTCTCTTTGGTATAAGAGGGGGCAAAGAGAAACTCTGGCAGGCTTTTGAGATTCTGTTATTATAACCTGCAATAATAAAAAAGTCTTCCTGTAATCTTTGCAGTGTCTGTTTCCTTGGTAACAGAAAAGTTCAGGGATGGAGAGAAACTTGATTTGACCTGAACAATACTTGCTTTTCCAACACCTGAATTTTTGCTTTGTAACAAAATAGCTTGCAATTATTAGTATTTTAGTGAAGCCTCCATGTCGCTCTTACCCCACCCACCAGTCCGTTTCCTATCTAAACACTAAAAAAGCTATTTGTCCCTTCTTTGTACTAATCAGCCTTCATTTTTTAACATCCCAGTGCAGGATAATTCTCATGTCTCTTACAGGATAACATTCTTATCCATATCCTTTTCTCAGCATGTGGGATGATGAAGATGCCCTAACAATATCCCAAGACCGGGGAAGCAAGAAATATCCTCCTATATGTGCTAAAACACCAGGTGCCCTATATTTTTCAAACAGTTACGTATTTTCAACAGTAAAATTATCCATAGATTCTATTGATATTCCTTCCCTTTCCAGTAAATTACTATTGACACACATACTTACTAATTATGTGTACTTTATTTCTCTAGGCTTTTATCACACATGAACAACAGAGGCTTTTTTCACTGACATACAAGAAAAGAAGCCAGACTGCATAAAAATTCAGGCAGACAATGCTTTCAAACTTCTGTCTGGACTCTTTCCTATTTACGGTTGTCCTAGTTCCGAAGATCCACTAATATATGCTATTTGCCTGCTTAAAAATACCACTGCTGGTCAAGACAGTAAATTCTAAGTACTACTTGCACTTATGACAATTAAAACTGATAGGATTAAATAGGAGATGGCTCCATTTGCTGCTCTCTATACTACCCTGAATGTCAGGTCCAAATGTCTCACCTAAGTGACTTTTCCACATATTTCATTCCCCGAGTGACAACAGAAGGAAACTCTTTTCCTTTGTGCCTATTAAGCATACAACATATTTTGTCCTAAGAAACCCAGCTGCATGTGTATGGGTGAATGTTTGAAGGCTTCAAGGGGGCTGATGGTTATTATTTATATTTTTCAGCCAATCCAATAAATATATTGAGATACCTTAATTATTTATTTGCAATCTCTGGACAACTGTACACTAATAGAGCCAGTTTGGTCTAGTGGTTAAGGCACCAGGCTAGAAAGCAGGAGATTATGAGTTCTAGTCCCGCCTTAGGCACGAGAGCCAGCTGGGTGACTTTGGGCCAGTCCCTCTCTCTCAGCCCAACTCACCTCACAGGG